ACTTTTACCCAACCCTATAGAACAGCACCTAAAACATGACTAAACTAATGCTAATTATAATTAAAATAATAATGGCCATAATATCATAATTTTTACTACTTTGTAGCATCCATGAAGATACAGACTGGAGAGAAAAGTGGAAAATATTATGCATGGCACTTAATTTTAGAATCTGAGACTTTTCAGCATAAGTTCTGTGGATCAAACACCAGAGCTACTGACCTACATCTAAAATAAACCATCTCAGGAAAACCACCATGTGCCTTTTATCCTTCCCATATTCCTGTAGCTCTTCATTTGGCACTTTCTCTGTGTTGGAAATTCAGAGCGATAAAACGCTTGAAAAAAAAGCACAGACGCTTCACATTTCACCCGTTCCACTATGTGCCACCATTAGTCCTTATAACACATCAAAAAAACAGGCCTTTTAGACGCATGATAAAAATCAATATCAGACCCTCTGATGATGTTATCTCTTGCACCAAGAGATGACATCAATTTCAACATACTGCACTGCTACAGAGCAAAATTATGTGCATTTATCTCTGTGTGCATTACATCTTAGAGCTTACAGCTATATATACAATAATCTCAAACTGCAAATAAATCCAGAGGTGTTCTATCCGTCCAGGAAGCCATCGTGTCCCAGACCGCCACAAAACAAACGATTGCTGGCATTAATGAAACAGGCCCCACGGAGGAGAATCACTCTTCTCGTTTTTTCACTCGGTTTTTTTTTGTCTTCCTGTCTGTTGCAGTTCCACCAGTCTGTGGCATCTATCAGCATCATTGAGGTGTGATGGGAGTATCGTAGACATCAGTCACACCCTCCGTCGCACCACTCGCAGTATCTGAATGACAGCGTGTCGACCCTTTCATCACCACACGGTCAAAAATCCATCACCCATATACACATATTAAAGCAATCTACTGGGACTGTAAATAACATATATTGCGTATATGACTGGATGTCTATATTTTATGATGGATGGAGAATTCCCAAACCTCTTACTGCAATATAACAAGACTAAATCTGGAATTTTTTCTCTTGTATAGAATAGGAAGGAAAGTGTATTTTTGTAATGGCATTGGTGAAGTATGACAGGGTTTCTACTAATTAATTAGCTTGTGTTTTGTTTGTGCATGCAACTCTCATGGTCTGGTAGGATGTGTACAGAAGCAGGTCTTTAAATTAAAGCAATAGTTCACCCAAAAATTAATCCAAGGCCTTGTAAGATGCAGATAAGTTTGTTTCTCCGTCAGAACAAATTTGAAAAAATTCAACATTACATCTCTTGCTCATCAATGGATCCTCTGCAGTGAATGGGCGCCGTCAGAATGAGTCCAAACAGCTGATAAAAACATCACATTAATCCACAAGTAATTCAGACAACTCCAGTCCATCAATTAACGTCTTATCGAGTGTATTTGTAAGAAACAAATCCATCATTTAAGACTTTTTAAAATAAAATAAAATTTACTATCCATAATATTCCTTTTTCCAGTGAAAAGTTGTCTCATCTAAATCAGGAGAGTAATATGTACAGATCAAGCAACATTTACAAGCATAAACAGTCTAAAACAGATCTAAACAAACGTGTCGGTGGATTTTGATGTGAAAAGAGGACAACAGGATGGGCTTCTTTCCTGGAGGAAGCGTTAAATGGATTATGGACTCATATTATGGCCTGAAGTGACAGTTTAAAATGAAAACATCTTGATGAATTTGTGTCTTACAAACATGCAGTTTTTCACTTCACAAGACATTAATTGATGGACTGGAGTGGTGTGGATTACTTGTGGATTATTGTTTGTGATGTTTTTATCATCTGTTTGAACTCTCATTCTGACGGCACCCATTCACTGCAGAGGATCCACTGGTGAGCAAGTGATGTAATGCTACATTTCTCCAAATCTGTTCAGTTGAAAAACTCATCTTGGATGGAATGAGGCTCAGTACATTTTCAGCAAATTTTCATTTTCCGGGTGAACTTTCCTATAAATTTGTGCTCTTATTCTCATTAGTTGGTAAATGTGATGGAACCGCGTCTGTTCTGCTTATTAGAGAGAGCAGACTTATGCTAAATCTCTCTGCTTGCAAATAGTTTCATATCTTCACCTTCCTTAACAGTTTTTATGTATACTAAATATGGCTAGAAATGTTTATTTGCTTGTTTACCCAGTTTTGTTTCACTATATTGTAATCTTAAAACCTGCCAGAACGAATAATGCACCTAAATGCTAATCTCACTGTGTAAAAATTGAATATTGAATTATTGGTCGTTTTAAGAATATAAAGATGCCATATACCTATAATGATGATTAGTGCATGCAAAGTTTTGCATTTATGCTCTCAGTTCATGGTTCTTCTTTTAAATTAGTTGATTTTATCTTCTATTTCTCCTTATCAGTTTTAATAAAGATAATGGATTACTTGATGTAAGTTTTTTTCTTGCTTTCTTATTGGCATTATAGCATATATGAGAGAAGTACTACAGTATACAGAAAGCCAAACCGAATGTTTGTTTCAACACAGACGTGCTAATGAAGTGGGAACTAAATTATTGGTGCATTCAACCACCAAACAAAGTACATTAAGAATCATTAATGTTGACAAAATATTAGAGAATTAATCAAATGAACAATATATTCAAAAAAGAGACACAAATCTACATAATCTTCAACTATAAAAATATCCTAATGGCACAATTTGTTCATTAACTTCTAAAATCACAAGATATGAGACTATTGTATTTTTGAACAAATATTTTATTATACATTATTAAAGATCAAGCAATGATTATTTATATATGCAAATGACCTCTTGAGCTCTATTATGGTTTCATGATGGTTTAAATAATAAAAATTAGTACGTGTACAAAGCCAAACATAGATTGCATAGATTTTCATAAAGCACCTAAACAACTTCAATTTCATACTATAAAAAAAACAAATTATAAAAATCACACACAATATTCTATACTGATTGAACAATATTTAAGAAATCATTTCAGACATGATGATGTAAAAAAATGTTTTTACTACGGTTGTTTCAAATGGTAAACACTCAAAGGGTCCCAAATCCCTCCACAGAAAACTGTGAACTGCATAAACAGTCAAATCAGAAAACACATTAATAATTAACCCACTGACAGATTCAATATGATTAATCAAAATAACCAAAACACCACTTACTGAACTAAGACCTTTAGCTACAGTGTGCTATTACAGTATATATTCTATTAAATTAAATGAAACTTATTTCAGCAGGACAATGGTTAAAATGGTAAAAATGGTTAAAAATTTTGATCTGTAATGTAGAGTGGAAATACTGCATGTTCAAAAATGCACAAAAGGGAAAAAAGCTGACAGAGCCACTGAGGCTCAAAGACTTAACGTTTAATGATTTCAGAGAATGATGAAGAGATTTCTGAGTGTGCATTTTAATATAACGTAAAAAGGGTAGAATGGTAGTAACGCTAGCTGCTAGAGACTGATTGGGACTCATGGGAATAAGATTATTTTTCATTTCTGAGAGCCACAGTGTAATATTCTTTAGCTCTTATAAAGCAAAGAAATGACAGAACCTATAGAAAAAAGTTATATAAATTTATGTGCCTTTTTCTATTCAACATCTATCTGACAGAATATGTTCATTTTTTTAACCAAATCAGTAATGATTTTGACATCATTTGAAAGAAAGAAAAAAAACGTCAGTAAATGTATGAAGTTGCATATATTTAAATGAATTAAGATTAAAAATCGGTTTCACTGATGACAAGCAATAGGGTGAAACACTGTACTGTAAATATAAATGATAATAATAATAATCCTAACACTTGAGGCTGGAAGCCAGTGTGAAAGGCTTTTACACAAAACTAAAGAAGAAAGAAATTCAAATGTGTTTGAAGCCTTTGTAAAATATTTCAAAATTCCATGATCACAGAAAATAATTTCTGCAATGACTGCGTAAGCAAACGTCACCCTGACCCACAATATGTATCTGAAATTGAATTACAGAGCTTCGAAATATCAGTCCTGAACAATTCTACATACTTATATTCGTAAACGTTCACCTAGAGTGTATAACTGCACATCTAAAGCTCCCTAACACATGCGGCTCCAGTACTGTACATCATCTGATGTTTAATCACACTCGTCTGAGAGCTTTGCAGTGGGTTTGTTCAGCGCAAAGGACTCGTCTGAAACGACCCACACCATCTGACTTCAAGAACGCTGGGCTGAAGGACAGACGTCTGTTCTTTGTGGAATGTACATTTGGTCTCCCTTTCAAGTACATGTTTGCAGTTAATGTATATTTAAATAACATAACCCAAGTATCTACAATATAGCACCAATGTGTTGAAAAGATTTACACTGTTTACATGCTATATATAGTAAATCTGCTTACACAAACGCTTGAATACAACATACAGTTTCACATGTTGTATTATCAAGTACCTTACCCTGAACTTACAGTATTATAATGAAAGTACATTGGAATTCAAGAGTTCTATAGTTGAATCATGCACGTCTATGCTGCTGTTTTGTGGTATTGGTTCTGTTTTAAGTGGCAGTGGTGTGAATGAGTCCATCACTGAGGCAGACGTTGCACATTGTGTGCGGTGCTGGGGTGTGTTGTGTGTTCAGGACACTTTCTGATAGGCTGGTGAGAGT